CCTTTTAAGAATAAATACGTGACTTATTCTTTCGTACAGATGCTAGAATTGCCTTTTTAGTGCCTTTTCCCACAATGGCCACAATATTTAAATTCGTTCCCTATTTGCTTGTTTTAGTTGCCTGCCTGCACGCACGAAGCCCGGGAAAACGTAAATATTTATAATACCTGGTATAAATAAGTATAAAAGAAGACAACAATTCATATTCCAGCTTGTGGAGGGCCAGGTGACAAAGTTTGCTGGCCACGACCCAACGACTGTAAAAAAACAAATAAAGGCATCGTCCCAACACTTGAATGCGGGCCCTATGCGGTATGCTGCTTAGTGACTATGTAGGAAGACTTTAAATATTATTTTCTCTCGGTTAATCTTAGAATCCAGTTTCACAAAATTAGGCACATTTTGGGCATTAGCTCAATAATAATGCCCAGTCGTATTAAGTCTTGAACAAAAATTATATCAATTTATGGTAGATTGGTTCCAGAAAAAACCGTGCAAAAAAAATATATTCATATGAAAAAAGAGGTGATTATTCCTTTTGTCCAAGACCTATTAAAATTAGTGAAAAAACAAGGTTTATGTAAGAACAAGAAGTATTCATGTTTATTTTATTAAATCACATATATATTTACACAAGCAGAGCTATTAAAGAAAAAAAAGTTATGCACTATAAGCCTAAAAGTATGAAATGTAAATGTAAACAAAAGAACGTGAAAAAACGACTTATGATACATAGGATGTGGACAATATAGTATGACCATTAACCAGTAGCCCTGGTCTGGTCGGGTCTGTTTTCAAAATGTAAATTATAGATACACCCCAGTTCGGGCATTCGGTAGGAAGTGTCAAGTAGTTGTTGTCAAAGCTTCGAATTGTTTATCAAATTTTAAACTTATACAAAATAGTTTATGCAAATAAACTGGATCTGTATTTTAAACCACAATGTGTGTAGTGTTCTGATTAAAGCCTACATTTTGTATATGTATGTTGAAAGTTAATTTTACTGCGATTTTTCATAAATACTATAAATTAGTACGCCTTTGGGCTAAACCCCAAAAGAGAGGACTATATAATTGAATACTAATTAGATTATTTGCTTTAATTAGAACTAGACACAGGGCTAGTCATAATCGGCCATGCTCGACCGTTCGGGACTTTTTTCACTTAGTGTCGAACTTTAGGTGTAAATTTGCTCGTTGGAAGCTTTAGATAATAAACCTTATTCTTATAGCTTTATCTGATCTATTTAATTATACACAAGCGGTGGCAAAAACCTAGAAAAAAATATTATGTAGTTATTTGGAGTGAAATCATTTACTTACGCTTTCTAATATTAAAGTTTTAATCAACTTCGATTGAGCAGAAATTTGTTAGAATAAGGTTTTTTAAAAGATAGTCGCAAACGGATGCAGGCATGCTTCGTATTTTATGGAATAAAATCCATAATTTAATGACAATGAGTATTTATCGAAGACTATAAAGACTTTGACTAGAAATTTAAGCTGAAATTTATCGGAATATCCACCTGACTACAAAAATATATCTATTCAATAACTTGTGATTTTGTAAGATTTCAGTCGAGTGCGTAAGCATTTTTCAATTATTTTTATTATAGAAAATCTTTGCTGTATTGCGGGTTTCTTTCAAATATTGCCACTGTACACACACATATATTTTGTGATATGCCGTGCAATTTGTTATTGTAAAATCTGATTAAGTCCACTTGATTGATCGTATAGCGCCACTGCACCGACACAGCCGTTACTATACCCTCTATATACTACGGCCAAAATATATCTTTGCGAGACACTATCGAACGATCAAAGAGCAGGTCGTATGGTTTGTGGTGCCAGTTTCGCCAGCGGCTACTGCGGACTACCTTTAACGAAGTGCCGGCGAAGTGGCGATTAGGGTGAAGATAAACACGATAATCTTGATGATGTTGATGCTGATGAGTTTTTTATTTTTGCCTATTTTCAACTTAGATGGCACGTCATGCCTGAGGAGCGGAAGCAACAGCACTTTCGAGCATATTTCGCAACATATATTAGTTTCAAATATTGAATACATATTTCAAATTGGGCCATCACAGGTCAAGGGTGTGGACATGCATGTACATACATATATGTATGTATGTATGTATAGTATATTAATGTTTGATAATGCCACGTGGCGTATACGTGATGGCTGGTAGCTAGAAAGCCCGCAACGGACACGTTTCAATAACAACTTTTTGCTCAATTAAATGGCAACGAGCAGCACAGCCACAAGCTACCAGGTAATGTGGCAGCAATAAATTTTATTTAAATCACTTCGGCTTGCTGCTTTTATTATGGCAAAGAAGAAAACAGGCAACTGCTTAAACAATGCAAATAAATTACATTGTAAAAAGTGCAATTCAAACGGCCAGATGTGTGCGTGTGTGTGTGTGTGTGTGTGTGTGTGATGTGTAATTCCTCCACACAAATAAGCGCTCGTACACACATACATACACACATACATAGTAGATATGTAGTCAACTGCACACGAGCAAGCTCACAAGCCTTTAAGATTAAAGTTTTTCCAAGAATGTGCACCGAGCGGGTGGCTGTCAGCAGCAACAACAACAAATGCAATACCACATAGCCGCTCTGCCCGCGGCGCAGACGCAGACGCAACAACACCAAAGTGTCGTGCTTCGTTTTCAACTACGCCTCCCCCCCATCGAACGATGCGATTACATTTTCTTACTTTTCTAGCAACAAGTTTGTCTGCAGAGATGAGCGAGACTGTGACTTTATGCAGTCAGTTGTGAGTGTGATTTAAAAAGCATACTAAAAAGCGTAATTCGCTTCGATTTCAAATTGCATTTTTAATAACACTATTAATTATTAAAATTGTTTGTGAAATATTAATGGTTTGACTTGTTGCGGAAATATTTGGATATTAGGTAAGCAGACATTCATTTCGAATAGCTTATCTTAGTTACCAACATGATTGTGTACTTTTTTATACACAAGTATAGTTCATATGCAAAAGAAATCGATCAGGCACCTAAAAAAGTATCATTTTTTCAACAATTTTAGTTTCTACACACCATTTTGTGACTATTTTGTGACTAGTGCATTCATTTATAAGAATCTTTCTTGCCGCACTTGGAACTAATAATAAATTAATAAATAAATAAAAATTCATTAGATGCCTATTTAAACATAATTGTGCTGTGCTCAAAAAATGATTAGTTTTATTTTAAAATAGACTTAAGAATTCTATTAGCCCTATCCTATAAATCCATTATTATCCGTGAAACTGCTACTCTTTAGATATCCGTTATATTCTCGTTTTAGAATGCTTATAAAAAAATAAATAAATGTGACAAATGGCTTATCGTTCAAAGCTTTATAATAATGATAAATATATTTTTATTTACATTTTCATTTATATTTATTGATGACATCCTATATATATCGTTAAAATAAATATAGTTGGATAGCAACATACGTCCTTCGATTATTTGTATATTCATATAATTTCAATACCCTGCCGAACTGTTACTTTAATCTGACAAGGTCGCACTCAGGCATCACAGCTGTTTCTTTATCTTTCTATATTTCATTTATTATATTTATTATATTTTTTAATTGTCTATCAAGTATATTTAATATTGTGCCAAACCTGAGAAACAAAAGCTTCTTAGTCTAAAGCCCGCTTTTTATTTTGAAAGAGAACGACTTTTTATCTTCATAAATAAACGCAAAAATTATAAATTATATTGTTTTTATTTCTAAGTTTCCACCAAATATTAAATTTAAAACTGTGTCATTTTCGCATAAAGGTAATGCAATCAATGCAAAATCAAGAGAATTTAAAATAAAGTTTTTCCCAAAATTATCCGGCAATTCAAAAACTTATGGAGTATTAAAGACATGCACATATTCGTACAATTGGATCGCCATTAAATGAAAGACATTGCAATGCTGCATATTTTTATATTAATATTTGTTTTGAATAATTTTGGAAAATGTAATTTTTCTTTAAATTCAATCATCTTTTTCATATATTTTTACATGTTTTGCGGCAAGCGCAAAGTTTCTCATTTGGACTCAGTATTTAAAAAAATAAATCACAACTGTTTTAATTAAAACTTGAACTATGCAATTAATAACGTTTCTCAATTAAGCTTGACTCGATTAATTTTTTCAAATGCGAAACATAGTTTAGACGGTGATTTAGAAATGTCGCAGGGTAGCTAAAAAATGCTCAACTCTAATTGCCTGAAACTCAGCTATGTAGTTATTCTTTTTCATCGAATTGTGCAGAAGTCTCAACAAAGTCTATACGTGTTATTATTATTTTTTTATTTTTGTCTGTGACTTGCCAAAGCTTCTTCATCTGCAACTACTCGGATGTACAATGTACATAAATTATTGTTCTCTTTTTTTCACAACTATTTAGCCAGCTGGATGGGTGCTTGTTACAAGTATAGCCGTTGAATGGCAAAGTTTAAACAATTGCATTCTTGGGCTCTTTGGCTTGACCAGACACTAGCCTGGCCTGCACGTGTGCTTGCCATTTAGAGGCATGTATTGACGGTATTAACGATGCTTTCGTGCGACTACCAATTAGGAAAATTAAGGCCGCTGCCTAATGAATGTTGGTCAATGCTTTCGCTTGCCCAATACTGGAAGACAAAAATTATTTAGCATAACACAACGAGGCAATTCGGAAAGTGTAACAAAATATTGGGGCACTCTTTTACGTTTCGTCTCATTAAAAACGCGCCGCAGAAATTGTGTGATAATTTTTTCGTTTCTTTTTTAGTGTAAGCATAGAAATGCCCACTTTTATTGTCGATATCGATGCGTGACCATTTCAAAATGTTGGCCACAGATTAAAAGCGAATGAATTGAGAGTGGGTGCGGAGTACGCGAAGGGTCGGCGGCTGCAGTTGCAAGCACTCGGCTGGCATTTCATTCATGCAACCATTCATGGCGACCCAAATTGGAGCGTGTTTTACGCACCTTGCTAGCCGTCGATGTGATTGCTGTTGTTGTACTTTGTAAGTCCGCGGCGGTATCCAAAATGAAATGAAATGCCTGCTGTGTGCACTGTAGTTGCTGTTGTTGTTGACGCTTGAGCGACTTTTCTTGCAAAATTTGCCAATGCTTAATTATTTGAATTTATTTTTAACACTTTCTTAAATGTATTGAGCACAGTGTTGGGTTGTAAAAATTTGCATATGGTCATCGCTGCACTATAGATATAATTTGTGTGTAACTATTTTTCCTTTTATGTAATCAAATTATTTTTGTTTAATATTATTTTCGTACCACTGAACTATTTGATCGACAATTATTTCGCCACAGAGGCGCACAAAAATATTATGCTTACGAAGCTGAGCGCGTATATTTTAATAAATATGTATATATGTATATTATTGGCGTTGTTGTTGTTGTTGTTGTTGTATTTCTCTTTCTTTACAAACACACGCATGCGCCTTTGCATTCGCGTACGCGTCCCGTATCCGTTACAGCCAAGCCACAAAAACCGAGAGCCAAAGCAACAACCGTCCGCCGTCGAGCACGTCGAACGAATAAACGCCAAGCCAAACACTTGACTGGAACTTAAAAGCGTGGCAAAGACAAAATGCAAAGCCCAACAACAAAGGCAAGTGGCAAAGACAGAAAGGCAAACACAAGCTCGAAAAATGAGAAGTAATTTTTTCTTTCTCACATATGTATATTCGTGTATACCATTTATGTATTTGTTTGTTAACAAACTTTTTTTGGCCAATGCATTTGGCTGGCCTCGTCGGTCGTGAAAACGTTTGCAAAGTCAGCGCTCAACTGGTTCGCAATCTGGCAGTCAATTTGGTTTTATACTCAACTTGTCGACTCGACGTCTCCGACGCCTTCGTCGTCGTCGCCAACGATTCGCTGGCGGAGGTGACGACGTTGCAGCCAACGTGGAACGCAGCAGCTTTGGTCCAAAGTGGAAGCAAAGCTGGCTGTGAAGTGGCTGCAGATATTCGATTTGTCCATTGAGGTAGGCTGAGAGCGCATTCGAGCCGGGCTGCCAACCGAACTGGATTTTCCCAGTCATCTATGTTCCACACTTTATTTCCGTTCGAAGACACGATCATAAGCTCGTCGACATTAGCTGTAAGACTCTTTAGGACTCTTTAATGGATATTTAATCCACATTCTTATTCTCTGTTTCATTTATCTGAATGGAAAAACAAAATAAATTTGAGATAAGTAAGTCGAATGCAACCCAACGTACAAAACTGTAATTACACCTAGTCCTTCCTTAACACAGGGGTTACGATCCTAAAAAGCCTTGTGTAAAGAGAAATCGTGTGGGCCGAAAATATGTTGTTCCTAGATTTCAACAAATGCACAAAAAAGTTTTGCAGTTTAAAAAAATTTAAATTTAAATTAAAAATTAACAAAAAGTTGTTCCAAGTGTTGAATATTTATCATTAACAGATTAAGTAAGCAGCTTTATTTAAAATTTAAGAATCATTTGGTCCCACTGGCATATAATATAATCTAATTAAAAGCCATTTTTACGCTAAACATCTTGTTGTTTGTGGTAGTCTTGAAAAAGATACAATCGCTGGTAGATGTTTGGTAATGAAGTTGTTCTAATTTGGTTTAACTGCCCAACAATGGATATTTGTTATAAAAACTCTTTGAAAAGATTCAAGCTGCGAACCTTTAAAAAAGATGAAGAGTCATCAACTTCTGCCCTAAATGCGTTTTCGCAAGAACAACAAACAGTTGCCTGTCTATTACTATTTATAATAAAATTTGGAATACTTTGCACATTCAACAGCTGCATACATAAAACATGTGTATGAGTACCTCTTTAGAACTCACTGCAATCAGAATAGAAATATATAGTTCTCGACCATTTTATATAATTTCCTTTCTGAATAAATCAAAATATTTCTTTAATTTACTTCAAATTTGAATTGGCTAGCAATAGTTTTAACATTTTCATTCTTTACTTTTAATTATACCACTGTGCAATAGCATGACGAATACGTTAGCATATGGTTGGTGTAACAATTTTCTTATCACATCAACACATAGGCCTTTTCCCCACCTAATGGTATCCTGACTACGCCCTTGACAAGACTCGTTGCGAACAATCTTTATTTTAGGGCAGGGCCAATATGAATTTGAGCTTTATTGGGGGTTTTTTTTTTAAGATCATCTTCTTCAGTGAAATGCCGAAATATTCATCAAAAATACAAGTAAATAAAATGCGAGTGAGTGTGTCTCTCTAACTCATTGTAGCCGTTCTGGACGACAGTCGCTCTTTGTTGTTGTCGTCTATTAGCATAATTAAAAATAAATTCGAGCCAAATAAAAATAAGGCAAACAATTTACATAAGAACAACTTTTAGTTTTATTTGCTTAACTTTTATTTCAAACTTGATGAGCATCAAGTTCATCAAACGCGTCCGGCCAATGCCTGCTCCGATACAAACGACTGATTGGCTCTGGGCTCTAACCATTTGAATGCCAAAGGCGTCTTCGTTGATGTCGCTGTCGCTGTCGTCGTCATCAAAGATTTCGTGCACAGCTCACACATACTTGTACATATATATTATACGTGTACGCTCGTGTGATTTTTGTAGCGGCTTTTAGGCAAATTTATGACGAGTGGCGTCAGACCACGGCCGTAAAAATCGAAAAAGCTAACTGAGAAGAGCAGCAAAGCTATTGCCAAAATTAAAAAAAAATTTATTGCCGCACTGCAGCTCGAAACTTAAATGTCAAACTAATTTAAACAAGCCACCAAGCAAAAACACATTAAAAATCAAACTGGATTAATTAAGGCAAAGTTAGTTGGCGGTGCCGTTCACACAAGGCGATCAGCATGTTTGACGGTTTGCCGAATGATTTGCTGCCACGCTGAAGACGCTCGATAACGATTTCGATGCATTGTTTATGGCTGTAGCGCCGACTGCAACTGTACATGAATATATGTATGGATATATGAAAATATATAAAAGCTAACAAAAGCTTGTGGACAGTGGCAGCATAGCGGCTCTGCTAATATCGTTGATTAGCCCGTGGCGCCCGCTTTTTTTATCTAATTTTGTCTTATTTGTTGGCCACGCTGGCGTATAAGTAATTATCATTATATTTATGGTACTGTGCGCAATTTTCCTGCATTTGCCGCCGCCACTGTGACTGCAATTTGTTCACAACTGCCCATGGCATTGCCCATACAGTTGAGCTTGTCTATAGGAAATCGAAAATAGATTCTTACTTTGTCAATACAATCAAACAATTCACGTTACTCCCTGTAAACCTGTTTAAGGGGATTCGAAACAATCTACAGCCTTTTTTTTTAACAAAACCGCATTTTAATTCGACTTCTACACTCTACATTTTTTGACAGATCATTTCTTTAAATATAATAACTATTAACAAAACAGTTCCTCAAACTTAAAGTTTTAAAGATTTATTTATTTTAAAAAATCAGTGCGACTTTGATGCATCGATGTTAAATAAAATTACCTTTTCATAGAAAATAAACATACACAAATCCATTCTTAAACCATACGAAATATATAAGAGTATATCAATATACAATTTAATAAAAACAGAAAAATGAAAATATCAATATTACTTATACCGGTAGACCAGAAATTCCACATAGTACGAATCAACAAATCATGAAAATATGAATAATACTTGTATATATAGTAAGTCTTCAGAACTAATTCACATTTCCAATATAAGCGATCTAAATAAAGCAGTCCTTTCTTTTTCACTGTGTTGCTTCAATAAGATCTAATGATCCAATCCAATTATATTCCTTCTTTTTCTCTCGTAATATTTTCAATCGTTAAGATCGTATACTCTGTGCATTAAATATGATTTCCAACTATTCAAATATTTATCATTTCAAATGTAATTGTTACGTTACATTACCTATTGGAGACATACGTAAATAAAATCGCATCTCTTGATTATATAACTTTCGAAATTGTTTCTTTCTGTTGCTCTTGTCGCTTACGTTAGCCCTATGCTTGGTGTACAATAGTAAGATGGATGAACCATAGCTAAGAAGCGAATAAATGTTACCAGATAAGGCACTCCTGAGTAACCGCACGTTTTGTTTATTTCTTACTTTCTCGCTTATCAACCTCATATGGAAACCAGGACACCAGAATTTTGAGCTTCATCGTAGATGACCTGGCAAGGGAGGAAAGAAACACCGCACGCATCCTTCCTGCAAATATAACCTATTTAACATTAAATTGACAAAAGATCCAAATTTAATCATTCAGTTTGTTAGTCTATCAAAAATTCTATATTATACTGATAATAATTATAAATTAAATAAAATCAAACTAGCTCTGTTGCTTAATTATAAACTAAATAGATTAAAACTAGTTCTATAAAAATATATGTTGCTCATAGTCCCAAGCCCAGCTAAATACGAATATGTATGTATATCGAGAAAACTTTGTCCAGCATCTATCTGAATATATTTTTTAAGGAAATCCGTTGATAACACATTATTAAAGTTTGTTCCATAAATCATACTACGGCTTCATAGCGGTCACTTTCTGAATCTAATCTAATCTAATCTTTCCATTCACATTTCTTCAATGAATTGGAATTGAAAATTGAAAAAATAATTTGTATTCATAGCTAAAAACTATTAGATACGAGACTAAAATCGACATATGGTCTTAGATAACTAGCCTATTTCTACAGAGCATATGATTAATTTTTATTCTAAAGTCAATTCTATTATATGACGGAAAGCTTATACCAACCCTCGAACCTTGCATTATAAAATACATAATTACATTAATCTGCCGTTGTTAATATTTTTACTTCAATTCGGTCTGGGAATGTTTGACTTGGGGATGTTGGACTGTAGATTGTAATTAGAGGCAAATATTTTAATTTACAAGTGCCAACTAGCGGGGCGTATGCGCAATGCCTTGCTGCACTTATTTAATTAACTTAAACGGCTTATGGAGTGGGTACAATACACACTTACCCACACACACTTAATCACATTCATTTAAATACGTGTATGCCTGCCGCTGGTTGGTTTTTTTTTTCGCTTGCGTCTGGTGTCTGTGATTCGCTTGGCCGATTTGGTTTCGGAAAGGAAAGGTGTTAACCTTGTGA